GTCGCATCAAAGTTCAATTTTACAACTCCAAAGTTAATTTTTACAACGTCAAAGTTCATCTTGACAAAGTCAATATTTTCCTATATATACTGCAAGGAGCACTGATGATGATTCATTCGTAATCGAAATATGGCCTTATTTGCAGCATGAATTCGAAAAATAAGTTTATTTTGAATTTTAATAAACTAAACGTTCACCAAAAAACTTTAGTGAAAAAAATCGAAAAAACGAACTACAAACATATTAACGCCAAACTTTCGGTAGAATTTATAGTATAATAATATATATATAAATATATATAATTCATTTTTTTAATTAATGTTAAGTATTCAATAATTTAAAATCATCCATTGAAATTCTTAAAAAAATCATTATTTTGAAGTCTTAAATTAATAGAGTCCGAAACATGCTATGTAGATATATGTAACTGTGTACAGGAGAGATAAAAATTGATATAAACCATTGCCAAAAATGAAATATATTATAAAGTTTGTTTGTTACCTAAATTAAGTGAACAATATTTCAAATGCTGATTTATATTTACATTTCAAGCCGGTCTTCATTGATTGAACTTTTGTTTAGCAGTTTTGCTTTAATTACTTGATTGATATTTTCAATAATTTTTCGTATAAATCGTTTTTGTCATAAATTTTTTCTTAAAAGTCACATTTTACTACAAAATTTATAAACAAAGTAAAACATTTTATTGCATACGTTGGGAACTACATGAGTCATCTCTATTTTGTTGTTAATCTTAAAAAACCGTTATTTTAATAAGCTATTTAATAAGCTTTTTAATTAGCTAACTACATGAGTCATCTCTATTTTGTTGTTAATCTTAAAAAACCGTTATTTTAATAAGCTATTTATTGATTTCACTTTAATTGATTTTTGACAAATATTCACATTTGAAACAAAATATATAAAAAACATAAAATTCTTAGAAAATGATTCCACTTTTTTAAAAATAATTATAGTTGGTTAAATGTAATTAACAATTAAAACTTTGAATAATTTTTTAACATTTAAAAAAAAATTAATTAAAAAAAGTAAGCAAGATGTTTTGTATTTATTGCAGCTGATAGATGGAAAGTGATTTTATAATCCATATCAACCTTATGATTAAGCTGAGTGTAACGATATGTTCGGCGTCGTTGAAAACATGAATGGAGAATCGCTCCGATGATTCTAACTTTGTATGGTTTTTTAACCAGTAGGACATCGCCAAAGGAAACGCCTCGATGTAGCAGTCCAAAACTGTTTCCCTGCTTCCAAGCAGTTGTCCCAATCGATATGTTGGCATTTTGACTACGGGAGAATCTTGTAAATTAATTCAATTTTTAAAAATAAATAACAATAGTTAAGCATAATTTAAAAATTAAAATTTTCTGCTCTTTAGTTGCAGACGCCTATTTAGACATGTAGCTTCTCCTTACTTACTTTTGCAATAGATGTTGTTAATGGTTAATGAAAATTAACCCATAAATAGTATTTCGAAATATTTTTCGACATTTTAAGATTAAGTCCGAGCGTGTTTTTCCACATGAGATAGTTCATGATCTCTAATGTCACAATTTTGTTCCTTTTGACTCATTTACTGCTGCGAATTTAACTGCAAATTTTAAAATTTTATGATCTCCATCGAAAAACGCAAACGAACTTTAAAGAAATAATGTAAACGCCAAATCGGCGGGATGTCTTGAAATAAGAAAAAAAGGATTGAAAATTTTTAAAAAATTGCAAGCATGTTAATTATTAAGAATTAAAATAATAAATTTTAGTGCACACCAATGATGAGAAAACGCACAAATTTACATTTAAATAACATGTTAAATTAAAAAAACCTGGTTTTAATTTGATTAATCGCGCTAAAAACTTGCTAGTTCCTAATGATTTTAAAAAATATCTCAAATTTCCAGCTGTACATAATCAATAATTAAAACGCATTTTTTGTAAATTTATTTTCCAGAACATTTTAGATTTAAATAAACACCTCAATTTATATCGCGTCGTCAACCCGAAATGTGCGAAAAATAACTGAGATCGGCGTTTGCAATCTGCAAATCCGTGGTACGAAATTTTGTTAGAATCTGATCTTGTCTCGTGAGTGGTATTATATTGATAATATTTATATTTGTATTGATATTAGTATATATATGAATAACGAACAAATGAATAACAAATTAGCGAAAATAATTTCTGGCAGTCAAAATAAAAAATGATGTTATTATAAATATATTAGTGTTCCTTATATTGTTAACCGAAAAATTATAAAATGTTTGAATTAGCTTCTGTTGACAAAATTTGTGGTTTTCATTTGTTTAGTATTCGTGAAAAACTTTTTAGAACATGAATGGGACGATAAATTTCAAGATCAAATGAACGTGGTCATCAATATGCAAGGCGGTATGTGCTGCGTAGTTAACGCTTCGATAGTTACGCGACGTTTCTGTTAACACGTATAAGCATAAACTGAAACTTAATTATTTTGAAAAACATTTTAAAATCCGGGTCAAATTGTAGTTTTTGGCAATTGCTACAAATCAATATTTTTTGTTCATCCAAATGTAGAAAGTAAAAAATCAAAAAAATCTCTGAAGTTCAAGATGAATAGAAACATAACTTTGAAAATATGAAAGTAGAGGTATAAATGAAGATTTTAAAAGATTCGAACAAAATTAAAAATAATTATTTAAATTAACTTATGAATATATGTATGTATGTATATATATATATATATATAATATATAAATAATATATATAAAAATAATATATATAAATATATATATATATATATATATATATATGTACGGTTGAAGATTACACCCCATTTTGCAGTTAGAAGTTTTTTAAATAAAATTTCAACAACACGAAGCTGTTTTGTTTCAACTTTATTAAACTGTGAAGTTTGGCTGACGGCCGTTTCGGCTAATGCCATCGTCGGAGCCTAGATTGTAAAACCAAATGAGGAGTTAATAATATAAATTATAAGAAATAGAAAATAGAATATTAGATATTAAAATGAATAAATAAATGAATAACAACCCATATTTTAAAATTAACTCATTATATTGTTGAAAATAAAATAAACGAACAAATTTAAAAGAAAAATTATGAATAAAATTGTTTGTGTATTATCGTAGTTGAAGTGTAGAAAGTTAGCATAGTGACAAGAAGTAATGCAGAAATTATGGGAAGTCGATAATAATATTTAATGATATGACAATTTATTGAAGAATTATTAGATATTTAACAATTGGATATAATATTATTTAGCAATAAATATGTATAAAGAAATATTAAGGCGTGGCAAATAATAAAGTTAGTGAACAAATTGTTTGAGTTTTATGGCGTGAAGAGACAAACGGATTGTTGTTAATGGTGCGTTCTTGTGTGTTATATTCGTATTTATATTTGGTGTGTAGTTGCTGTCTATTGATGACGTTTGGCAATTGAGGCAGTACAACGTCGCGATATTGAGTAAAAAATTGTAAGACGTGGGCGAAATTGTCTGACTGCGTGTTGATTGTTGGTTTATTATTGAGGATGAGAATAGCTTCTTTTATTTTGAGTCTTGAGGGACGACGTTCATTACAAAGTATGCTAGTGTTATTATCAAGAATTTTTCGAGTAACTGGTATGTTGTGCTGCTTATTGAAGTGATCCTTGATAGCGCCTTGCTGTACGTGCATGGTAAGGCGTCCGCGAAGTGTTGTACGTGTGTGTCCAATATATGTTTCCACATCACGGTGTGGCAAAGGGCATCGAAATTGGTACACGACGTTCGTACTATCTAGATTATCTTTTGTAGTGGCTGGACTGTTTTTGATGACTAATTGTTGTGTTTTTGTTGTATCATAATATATTATTAACTTGATCTTTTTATTTTCATCTTCTGATGTGAGATTTGATCTAATGATTTGTTTAATTTGTTTTTCATCAATAAAAATTGCCGACATCATCCATAGCCATAAAGATACCACAGGACACTTGTCGTCGCTGGACGTTGAAAGCCTTTTTACTAACATACCAGTCCTGCAAACTATTGAAATTATCTGCCAATATGTATACAACCACCCTTCTCTTCCTCAACTCGACATTCGTCCTCATTTACTTAAAGAGCTCCTCCAACTATGTACCATACGCAATCCAAATAACTCACTGTATCTACAAATAGACGGCATAGCCATGGGCTCCCCATTAGGTCCTCTCTTCGCTGAGTTCTACATGGGTAATCTAGAATCTAAGATATTCTCCGATCCAGAAAACAAACCGCTTATCTACGCCCACTACGTCGACGATATATTTATCATCACAAAGTCTATAGCTGACATATATCAACTCCAAAACCTGTTCCAGAACAACTCTTGCTTATCATTTACAATTGAAGTTAGTAACAATAATAAAATCTCTTTCCTTGACACTTTAGTCACCATGCACGCAAATCAGCTTTCTACCCAAGTATACGTCAAACCAACAAACTTTGGACAATGTTTAAGCTACAATTCCGATTGTCCCGTCAAATACAAAAACAACGTCATTAAAAACTTCATCACACGCGCTTTTAAATTATCTAACGACGATGAATCTCTTCATATAGAC